AGTTTCTTTCCTAAGCCTTTTCCCACCTATCACAAACAATGGTATAAAAACAATGTAAAACCATCTACAACTCGCAGTTCTCCCTTCCTTGCAGGGTCCAGCCGGAAGCACTTACCTTGGGCCGGAAAAGCTCCATGACAGCAATCTTCCCATACATGCCCACCTCCTTGACCGGTCGGAGGCCCTCAGCAGTGACCACATAGATCTCTAATCGTGTGTTTTTGGCAATCAGCAGGTTCAAGTCTTCAGCTGAAGTAAAGTGTCCTGAAAGAACAGAGTCCTCTAACCTTTGAAGAAAGGGAAAGGCCTTGCCCGACATGTCAGTTTCTCCCTCAGTACCTCCAGAATACTCATTCACTTGCATGTTTCTCCAGCTCCCTCCACTCACCTGAATACTCATTTACTTGCATGTTTCTCCAGCTCCCTCCACTCACCTGAATACTCATTTACTTGCATGTTTCTCCAGCTCCCTCCACTCACCTGAATACTCATTTACTTGCATGTTTCTCCAGCTCCCTCCATTCACCAGCCCCAGACAGAGTCTCACTTCATACATTCAGCAAAGCCACCTCATTGATCAGACTAAGAACATCACATTATGCCTAAGGACCACGCATCCTTCATCTAACAAGTGGCTGTGAAAACCCTTCCAAGTGTTTGGTCCCCTCAAACTGTATTTTGCCTCCAGTGGCAGACTTGCTGTCTCATTAGCGGATGCAGGAGCAAACATCCATCTTCTAGCCGTCACCTACACATCTAAAGTCTCACCGAGTCAGGACACATGGAGATTGAGTCCCAGAGCTTTATACTAAAACCTCGTTTTGCTCACACTCCTTGTCCTGCCCTCCCAGCCACGTACCAATGGGCCCATGGCACCTCCAATTCTCCAAACAACAAAGCTTTGTTTTGGAGAAGTGACTGGGTCGTACATAAATATACAAGTTTGGGAATTTCGCTTGGGGATGATTCTTCCCCCGGCCAAACCTTCATTCCCGTTCTGTAACAGTACTCACATTGTAACCAACTGCTCCAGGCAAGACGACTGAGAGTGGACCTTCCTTGCATCTCTCCACCTCCTGCACCCCCCAGAGTCTTCCACAAGAAAACCCCACAGCCACCAGCTCCTTCCCCCAACCCCACGAGGCCAATCTCCCGGCCCGAGCAACACCGCACAATCAACTCTCACCTCCCTGGGTCCCACAGGGCCCAATCCTGAGCTGGGGCCAAATGACCTCCCGGAACGGAAAAGGACCCTCGAACTCAGCTTTGACTCCCCAAAAAGCGCGTATGGACGCCGGTGGAGGGCAAGGACGGTTCCTCGACCGCCAACGCCTCCCCTTTCCCGGGACCAGTCCTGCCCGGCCGCCCCGGAGGCCATGGCCTCCCTAGGCCTCGGCTCCCCCCAGCTCCCCTTCCTCGCCAGGGTCTCTGGCCCTGGCAGCCCTACCGGTCACGCAGCCGTTCACGGCGGTGGGCTTCTGGGCCGTTACCACGTAGTTGTACGACATGTCGAGGCCGCAGGCGACCCGTCGGGACGCGAGCGCAACGCTACAGAGATGGACTCGAGCGAGGAGACAGAAGGCCCCCGGCCGCGCGCAGCGATCTCCAGCGCCGCTGCCTCCGCCCCAGAGACACGTTGCAGGCCAGAGCGGCCGCAGCGCAGGGCATGACGGGACGGCCTCACCTGGCCTCTGGATGACTCGCCGCGCCGGAGGCAACCAACCACAGTAAGCCCCGCCCCCCGGAGCCTGCAGTACCCGGATGAGAACACACACAAGACTCTCTGTAAAGCGGCGGTGAGGCGTCGGCTACGGAGCAGGAGGGCGCGAGCCGGCGCGGAGGTTGCCCCTCTACATTCGGAGCTTCCCGGAGGACCTCCAGTTCCTAACCCTTCGCCCCGTCTCCGCCCCTAACTTTTCCCCAGACTTCCGTCTTCCCCCACCTCCTTGCTTCCGGAGCCCTCCGAGTGGTTTCTCCCTTTTGGAACCCGGAAGACTGCAGTGGCCTAGAGAGGGGAGGCAGGTGACAGCTATTTGTGCGGATCTCAGACCCAGGTCCGTGCCTGCCTCTACTGGTACCCTCTCAGTTCCCCCAAACTCAGCGGATGACCACGCCTGACCGGAGAACGACCACCCGGCCTCACCTGGAGGCAGCCAAACACTCACCTCTCCTCCTTTAAGCTGTTTTGATTCTTCAGACTTTAAAAGGCACACCAGGCCTTTTGCTCAGCATCAGTAATGCCCCCCATTAACCAGCTGTTCAGCAGACTCTGACACCAAACACAAAATCAGAATTTCCCCAGTGAGAACTTTCGTGGCGCCGGAGGGTGGTCAATTAGCTCTGTAAGCTCATGGTCACTTTACAACAGACAGGCTACCCAAGGAGCAGGAGCACCTGCAGAATTCAGAGAGGTGTCTACCCCATTTTTTAGCTCAGAGATGGGGTTGTTTATATAAGATGACCCTCCAATAAGACAGCCAGAGCTCGGTACAGAGCCGGGTTTTTTAATTCCAGGTGGAGTTCTTTCCACCACACACAAATCACAAGCCTTCTGTTGAAGACCTCGGATGACCCTGAGATGCTTATGGTAGTGGTTACCTGCTGTGGAGTCAGAACCGACCCATAGCGACCCTGTACAGGGTTTCCGAGGCTATAAATCTTTACGGGAGCAAAAAGCCTCATCTTTCTCCCGTGGAACAGCTGGTAGTTTCGAACTGCTGACCTTGCAGTTCACAGCCTGATTCATAACCACTATGCTACCAGAGCTCCTTCAGAGATACTTATACACCAGACCAAACACACCAGGGACCCTGCCTGACTTTAGAGGCACTGAGTTACCTGTAGAAAATGTACAGATTTTATAGAAAGGTACAGGTTCAAGTCCTGACTTTTTCCAGTATGATGTTAGGCAAGTCACTAGACCTCACTGAGTTTGTTTCCTCAGCAGGGTCACAAGCTCTAGCTGCCTCCCTTCTGGTGTGATACCAGTAAGAGGAAGCATGTGAAGATCTTTGTAAACTTCTTTATGAAGTGACTCAGTGGGTAACTGTTACACAGATATGAGAGGCTGCTCCAGGGCATAAAGGCAGCCCTGTGCCCCACAGAGATCGATCTGTCTCTTGGCAGCCAAGTACAGCTTGGTGAACCTTGCTCAGCCTCACACTCTTCTCAGCCCACAAACTAGACTTTGGACTTGGATCAAAGTCTAAGGCAGCTCCCTAACTACCAGGGCACCAGCAGCGTGACTGCCAGGCAGCCCCAATCGTGTTCAACAGTTCTCATCCTTACCCACGCCTGCAGGTGCAGCGTCTGCCTCCACCAAGCTCAAACCCAGGAAGCTCTCCCAGAAACTCCTGTCCTCCAACAACTCAGTGTGAAAGTGAATACGACTTGCTCCCCAGCCTCCCACCATGGTGAGTCCCGTGGGGGCCAGGGCAGGGGAAAGACACTGTGGTTTGGGAGCAGTGGGGTTCCCAACCTTGACCATGCTGGAGTTCCTCACACCCTGACCAAGAGATGCTGTTGCTTCCTAAGTTTGGACAGGTTGAGAGAGAGGGGTTGTGTGCTCTCTCCATGAATGACCCCTGCTTCCTGTCACTTCTTGGAGTCTTCTGGTCCTAGCTAGGTCTGGTGCTGCACCCTCTGAGCTCCTCCAAGGCCCATCTGCCCCAAGTCTGGGTAACATTTACATTAGGACCTTAATGTTATCCACGCTAGATGATTGGTTCAGTGGTAAAGTTCTTGCCTTCCATGTGAGAGACCCAGTTCAATCCGTATCCAGGGCACCTCAATCTGTCAGTGGAAGCTAGCATGTTGCTATGATGCTGAACACAGTTTTAGGCTAGGAAGAAAAATCTGGTGATCCATTTCTATAAGTCAGTTTATGAAAACGCTGTGGGTCACAAAGGATGTGCATGAGGTTACCCTGATTCCAGAGCTGACTCAACAGCACTTCACACCATTGCTCTGTCCTGTACACTGTACCAGCTACAAAAGAACCACAGAGAACCACCGGTGCCTGTTCTTAAAGCTGGGGTGTATGTGAGCTGGCCTCACAGCTGGGGTCTACACTATGGGAGGCTCAATGAGCCCTCTGAGCATCGCTCTGGGTCCACCCTAGAGCCCACCATCTGAACCAAAGCAGACTTTGGACAGGCCTAGGTTCATATCTCACCTCTGCCACTGAATAGCTGTGTGACCTTTCACAAAAGACTTGACCTCTCTGAACTTCTTGTTCCTCAATCTGCAGTGTGGACCCAGAGTCCTAGGCCCTCTCACCGTGTCTGACTTCCTTTCCTTTTCCATGCTTGGGTTCCCTCGGGCTGCTGGGAGCCAGAGGTGGCACTGGTTCATCCGCTGCAGTGGTGGATGAGAGTCCCTGGCAGGACAGGTGGTCAGAGATGCAGAGCAGGACACATTCCTGGAGGTCCGTGATGCTGGAGGCAGGGCTTGGTTTTGAAGCCAATTGGTGGCTTCATTGCATGTTCCAGTCCCTGATGGGCTCTGGGAGCCATAAGCCTGTGTCCTTCCTAGGGCCAGACTACTATTGCTTCAGCCTCCTGGAAACCCTGTGGAGTCCAGTTATGCTCTGACACACATGGGCCACCATGACTTGGACGTGATTTAAAAGCCTTTGCTTGGTTAGCTTTATTCAAATTCCTATCGTATAATTCAGTCCCTTAGGAAAGCAGCGTGATGTCAAAATAATGCCAACGTTGGAGCCAGGTCACCTGGGCACTTGCTGGCTATGTAACTCGAGCAGTGTCACCTGACCCTGCCGCGTGTGCCTCGGTTTCTTCACCAGGCTAACATCTCCCCGGGGGGTGTTGAGAAGATGAACTAGGCCTGCTTCTCAGCCCCTGTTGAGGAATGATGCCAGTCTCCTCCTGCTCACTCCCTACTGGCCCTACTGCTCTTCCCACCCAGGGCAGGTGGCCTGGCCTAACCCCCCCACCCCTACCCCACCCCTGGACCCCTAAGGCATCAGCGCCAAAGTTTGCATGAGGGAAGTTGTGGCAGAAGTATCCCTGACTGGGGCCTCCTCAGCTGGAGGCTGCATCTGGCCACCAGGTAGTGTTGGGAGCCTGGCCCTTGAGTCCCTTTGGAGCCCCGGTCTCACCTTCAGAACAAAGGTGGGCGCTACAGCCCCTGTACAACTAGTTCAAGCTTTTTAGAGCCTGGTGGAAACACAGTAAGAATAAAAAACAGTTGCTCCTGAATCACTTCCAACCCACTGTGCTCCGTACAGTTTCCACAGCTGATTTTTTTAAGCTGGATCACCAGGCCTTTCTTCTGAGGTCCGTCTGGGTGGACTTGAACCTACGTTTCAGTTAGCAGTCGAATAACCCTCAGGGACTCTTCCATATCCAATGCTGCCCTTTATTAAGCTGATACAGTGTCACAGGAATACAGTCGATGAGTAAGTTACCATTTGTTCGTTTTATGTAGGAAGAATCAGGACTTAGAGCAGTGAGGTGTCTTCACTGAATTTTCAAAACGGATGGGATTTGAACTCAAGTCCCCATGATTGCAGAGTCTAAGCCCATCACCATGGCAGGCTGCCGCTGCTCCCTTCTGCCTCCCGCCCCCGGTTGGTTCTGTGCCCCTCCTGTGGCTCCCAGCCAGTGTCTCCTGACCCGGTAAACACATCAAAGCTTCTGATCTAGGTCTGGCTGGTATCTGTCTCTCCCATCCACAGCCCCTTCCTACAGAACTAAAGCCTGTTTCCCTGACAGGAATAGCCATTAAGCATGGTAAGCATAGGCTCGTAGATACTTGCATGTAGTGTAAGTGAGCACTTTCATGTTTTTCACCAGATTGTGAAAACCCATCATGGTAAAACTGTTTACTACAGATTTATAGGTCAGTCCATACTTATCTTGCTTACTGAGCACTCCGTCCCTGCTGGCCACCTGGTATGCCACCCACTGTCACTGGGCACTGTCTCACACCTCCAGACCTTGGCTTCTGCTTTTCCTCTGCCTGGAATGGCCTCCCTCTTTATTCCCTCCATCCTGCCTACCACCTTTGACCTACCTAACTCCTGCTTATTCTCCACAAAGACTTCCAAGGTGCCCTAAAGAGGCTGGGGCTGTCTGCTCCCACAGCACACTTGCCACAGTTGGTTTAAGTGGTCTGTTTATTGCCATCTGGGGCAGGAGCGCTGGGCCTGGCCCACCCAGGATCTCAGGAAGGGTCTGCTGAGCATCAGAGGCCACAGTGAAGCACGGGAGGGTGGCACACATCCCGTCCGGGGCTTCTCCTCTGGCAGGAAAGGAGGCTGGCTTCCAGTTTTATCATATGCTTTTATAATCAGGACTCCAATGCCCCCAGGTTTGTTTGTATGTTTTGCCTTGGAGCCATTTTTCAGGCTGTATTTAAGCCATGATGCCAAACACTCTATTTGGCTCCGAATAAAAAGCCACCAGTGAGGAAGAGAAGTTGCAACAGCATCCAGCTTTGACACTTACCCAAACCAAGGACGTGCTGTGTTCTTGCAGTTGCTAGATGGCCATGGGAGAGGGGTCTTGGACATGGCAACGTGGCTGGGATGATGGGAGTGCCTGCTGCCCACCCTCTAAACCTCCTCGCTCCGGTCCCACAGGCCTCCAAGAAGCTGGTGAACTCTGTGGCAGGCTGTGCCGATGATGCCCTTACAGGCCTCGTGGCCTGCAACCCCAACTTGCAGCTCCTGCAGGGTCACCGGGTGGCCCTCCGCTCTGACCTGGACAGTCTCAAAGGCCAGGTGGCTCTGTTGTCAGGCGGGGGCTCTGGCCATGAGCCTGCCCACGCTGGTGAGTAGAGGGATAGAGGTGGTGCAGGGGGGTGCTTGGCAGGTAGGACGGGGAGCCCCCAGAACATTCAGGCTGGTCTGAGGTTCAGGGCACAGACTGACCCAGAGTCAGGAACCAGTTTCTGGTTCCTGCTCTCCTTTTGCTGTGACCAGGGGCCAGTTGTGGCATTGTTGTGGGCTTCAGTTCATCTGCCGGGATCCAGCCCCGGCAAACTTATTTCAAGGATTTCACAGAAGGGGGGTGCGGCCGTTGGCGGAAAAAGAATTATACGGAGTCAATAAGTCATGATGAATTCAAAATCGTCTTAATTACGTGCTTTATTCTTCTCTCATTCTTTACTCCCTGCTCTCCTGCTCATCTCTTCTGCTTCTTTTCTCCCTTCCCCTGCTCCTGCTTTTCCCTTCTTCTTCCCTCTCCTCTTTCATTCTCCTCCTGCTTCTTTAATCCCCTTCCATTTCTTTACTGCCCCCTCTCCTGCTTTCCCTCTCTATTCTTCATACATGTTTGATTATCCTTCCACTTATTCCTTCTTCTCCTTCATTCTCCTTCTCCCCTCCTGCTTTATTCTTCTGCCCTTCTTTTTCCATCTCCACTACTCCCTATACTACTCCTCTACATTACTCCTTATTCTTTTTCCTTCTCCCACTATTTCCTTTATTCTCTACATTCCTTCTACTTCTCCCTATTCTATCTTACAACCCCCTTATATACCGTTACAAAAAACATTGCTTTCATAGTAATCAATGTCCTCAAAATACAATCTATTTTGGGCCACATTCTTCATGGTTTACAACCCTTAGATTTACAACAGGGATGAGACGTTACAGACATCAAGGCATACTGAGACATCTTAGCACCTTGAAACCTTTTAGTTAAACATTTGTTCCTACATAAATCTATTCTTTTCTCTGAGAAGCAAGTTAACCTTCACATATGTTTCTTAACCTCTATCTATTGAGTCTTGTTAATTTTACTTGTTAGGTGCAATTAACTCTCCATTAACTTCTTCCATACACTATCTGTTTATAGCCTACAAAAATATCACTTATCAGAACATTTAAAAAACTGAGGCTATGAAAACAACGTCCCTATTTTACTGATCAGACTTCTTATTTATGTAACTGTAGATTCTTATAGCCCTTATCTATATTCTAATTGTTTTTAGGAATTCTTGTACCCAAAGCCCTTATTTATGGCCTAGTTGCTTTTAGGGATTCTTTATTGCCTTAAACTAAGGCTACAAGGAAGAATGTTTACAATCACTAAGCCTAAGCTGGTAGTAATTCAATTGACAAATCCTGTCTCCTAGCAGTCTTAAGAACATTGCTAATATAAGTATTAAAACTACCTATGATTACAAGTAGAATAAATGTAGTTAATATATGGATTCTAACTTTTAATAAAAATATACTAAAGTAAAAGGATACTAATAAAATCATGAATAAATCAGAAAATGAGTCAACAAGAGAAAAATTAACTAGGGGCCTGTGCATAGAATATTTGTTCCTTGTAGCTCTGCTATCCAAGGAAAGTACTCCATTGTTGCTTTGCAAAATCAATGAATTCTTCTATGCCCAGGTTTCCCCGTGTCTCATTTATTTATTTTAATTCCTTGATTAATATGTCTCAATTTCTTCATTTTAATTCCTTATTAATAAAATCCCATATTATTATTATGGCCCCTGCCATTCATTCAAAAGTCTGTTCCATCCCCTTCAGTGCTCAGTCAGGCATTCCGGAATTACTCCAATGGACCCATCCCCTTCTCTGAAAACCTTCCTTTCAGCCGAGAGCAGCATCCTTCTAAAGAGCACCCACCCCACAGTCTTGCCCTCACTTAGGGACATTCCTGGTGTTCACTGTTTGGTGCCATAAACACCGTGCCTACTGGCTTCCTTGAGAGCTCCTGAGGGCGGGAACCAGGATGTGTAGTGTTCACTGTTTGGTGCCATAAACACCGTGCCTACTGGCTTCCTTGAGAGCTCCTGAGGGCGGGAACCAGGCTGTGTAGTGTTTTCCTTTTCTGTCTCCCTCCAGTGAGCTCATTCACTCACTCAGCTAATGGTGATGGGCGCACTCTAGAGAAGCTGTAGGAAACCACAGTATACCCAGTGCACACAGTCCACACAGTATCCACGGTAAGCAGAGCACACAGCACAGCAGTATACAACATACTTAGTACACACAGTGTCCATGGTACACACCTGCACAGCACAGTGGTATACAGCATACTTTGTGCACACAGTATACATGACACACACCCACACAGCACAGCGGTATACAGCACATGTGGTACACGCAGTATACACAGCACATACCCACAGGGCACAGTGGTACATACCATACTTAGTACACGCAGTATACATGGCACACACCCACATGGCACAGCGGTACACAGCATACGCGGTGCACACAGTATACATGGCACATACCCTCACAGCACAGCAGTATACAACACACGCAGTGCACACAGTATACACGGCACACACCCACACGGCACAGCGGTATACCCCTACAAAGCTTGAGGCCCCCAAGTGTGAGCGGTCCCAGTGACTCGAGGTACAGGTCCCCACCCATTGTCCTCTCACCCAACCCTCCCTGTCTCCAGGTTTTATAGGGAAGGGGATGCTGACAGGGGTCATCGCAGGAGCCGTGTTCACCTCCCCAGCCGTGGGCAGCATCCTGGCAGCCATCAGGGCAGTGGCCCAGGCTGGCACAGGTAAGACTAGCTCGTGGAGGGACGGGGAAGGTAAGCTGCAGGTGGCTGAGGGCAAACACAGACGAGTCCCTGCTCACTGCTCCCACAGCGGGGACCCTCCTCATAGTGAAGAACTACACAGGGGACCGGCTCAACTTCGGCCTGGCCCTGGAGCGGGCCCGGGCTGAGGGCATTCCGGTGGAGATGGTGGTCATTGGGGACGACAGCGCCTTCACTGTCCTGAAGAAGGCAGGCAGGCGGGGGCTTTGCGGCACCGTGCTCATACACAAGGTGAGAGCCCCCCACCACCACCCTGCCCTCACTCTGCCTCCTCTACAGGCAGCACCCCCTCATAACACACTCTGACTCCTCCCTTTCTGCCACACATACAGTCACCCAGTCACTGGTCGCCCCCCTTCTCCTCCCAGGGCCTCCTCCATCCCAGGACCAATCTGCATATGCCCAGAAGGCTGCAGTGGTCTCCTCCATGGGTCCCTGCCTTCCTGCCTTCTTCCCAGCTGTTCTCCACACAATAACTTTTCTGTGTGTACATCAGCTTTCCCACCTGTTCCCCAGATGAGCTTCTTGGAGGCAGGGACTGTGACTTTTTTCCCCCTAGCTCTCAGCACGTGCTAGATGCTTGGTAAATACTGGATGGGTGGGTGAGTAGATGGATGGACAGACAGATGGACAGAGTGAGAAGATGGATGGATGGGTGGATGGATGGATAGATGGATAAGTGAGTGGGTAGATGGGTGGATGGATGGATAAGAGAGTGGGTAGATGGGTGGATGGATGGATAGATGGATGAGTGAATGGGTGAATGGATGGATGGATGGATGAGTAAGTGGGTGGATAGATGGGTGGATGGATGAGTGAGTAGATAGGTGGATGGATGGATAAGTGAATGGGTTGATGGATTAATGAGTGGGTGGCTGGCTGGATGAGTGGGTGGATGGATGGATGGATGGATGGATGAGTGGGTGGATAGATGGAATGGATGGATGTGTGCATGGGTGGATTGATGGATAAGTGAGTGGGTGGATAGATGGAATGGATGGATGTGTGCATGGGTGGATTGATGGATAAGTGAGTGGGTTGATTAATGAGTGGGTGGATGGGTGGACGGATGTATGGATAAATGGATGAGTGGATGGATGGATGGATGGGTAGATGAATGAATGGATGGATGATTGAGTGGGTGGATGGATGAGTGAGTGGATGGTTGGATTAATGAGTGGGTGGGTGGATGAATGAGTGGGTAGATGGAGGAGTAAGTGGGTGGATGGATGGATAGATGAGTGAGTGAATAAATGAGTGGATAGATGAATGGCTAAATGGGTGAGTGGATGAATGACTGAGTAAATGGGTAGATGGATGGATGGATGAGTGAACAAATGAGTGGATAGATGAATGGCTGAATGTATGAGTGTATGGATAGATGAGTGGGTGGGTGGATGGATAAATGAGTAGATAGATAGATGAATAGGTGGGTAGGTGGATGGATGTATGGGTGGATAGATGAGTGGGTGGATGGATGTATGGGTGGATAGATGAGTGGGTGGATGGATGTATGGGTGGGTAGGTGGATGAATGAATGAGTAGATGGGTAGGTAGATGGAAGGATGGGTAGGTGGATGGATGAGTAGATGCATGGGTGGATGGAAGGATGGGTAGGTGGCTAGATGAATGAGTGGGTGTATAGAAGAGTGAATGGATAAATGAATGGGAGAGTAGATGGATAGAATGAGTCACACTGTAAATGCTATGGGAAAAAGAACTCTAGCAATTGGGAAGCTGGCTGCCAACTGGCTGTGTGATATTGGACAAGTCACTTCCCCTATTTGGACCCATTTGCCAATCTAAAAAGTCCCCTGTACCTCCAACAGACTGGGTTCCTTAAAATTCCTGGCAGGTGCATTGTGAATTAAGGGGTGCACTTCTCTGTTCTACATGTGAGCGGTAGACTGGGTGTGGGGGTACTAGGACTCTCCCCACCTTCCAACAAGAACCTCTTCCCCAGCCAGTCTTCTGTTCCCATGTGGTGGTACAACTCCTTCCCCCTTGGGGGCTTCTCTTTGTGGGGTGCAGGTAGCGGGTGCCCTGGCTGAGGCTGGTGTGGGACTAGAGGAGATCACCAAGAGGGTGAACGCAATCGCCAAGGCCATGGGTGAGTGAACCCAGCGGCTCGGGAAAGGCAAGGGGTAAGGTTGGAGCAGCCCTTGGGCCTAGGAGCAGGTCCCTTTCAGAGGCTTAGTGGTGGCTACAGAGTATTCCCCTGAGGCAGAAGGAAGGTCTGCAATGGGGCGCTCCTGGGGACAGTGGCTCCTGAGGACAGAGCTGGGCTGTGTTTCATCATTAAGATGGAAGAGGCATGTTCGTGGGCAGGGATCGATGCTGCCCTTCCTGGTGTCCAAGGCCAGCACTCCTTCTGTGCCCTGTTCCTCACAGGTACCCTGGGGGTCAGCTTGTCCTCCTGCAGCGTCCCTGGCTCCAAACCCACCTTTGAGCTCTCCAACGATGAGATAGAGCTGGGCCTGGGTAAGCTTGTGACCACCCCTGCCCAGCCATTCCTGTCTCTAAATTGGATTGTCTCTCTGTCTTATGCCCTGGGGGTCATCTACCTGTCTTGTCTGCTTAATGCTCACCTGGTGCTGTATCCCAGGTGGTCTTAGTATTTGTAAGTGGGCACCAAGGCTCTTCTGGCCCAACCTTCCTTATTTCCACCTGCTTTGCCAGCCACACTCAGAGCTGCCTACCTGCCCACCTCCTGGTCTGGGCTAACAGTATTCCTGGGTGCTCCTTCCCTGTAAGACACAGCCCTTTTCTCAGGACCAGGCAAAGACCTTGCCCTGCTGTAGTGTTTTCCATCCCTGGCAGGGGCATAGGCCTCCAGTGGCCTCCCCATGATGGCCTCTAATCAGAACTCCTTGGGTTTCTGGCTGCCTCCCATACTGAGCCACTAGTTCCGGGATAGCAGAGGCTGTGCACCTTTCCTGATCCTGCCTGTGACCACCCCACTCTCTGGGCCCACCGCCTAGCCTAGTGCCCAGCATTTCACTGTAAGTTCTCGGTAAGATGTAAGGAGCCAGTCCCCAGTCTGAGTGGGTCAGCAGTGACACGTTTGTTCACAGGCATCCATGGGGAAGCCGGTGTGCGTCGGATAAAGGTAGGTGGACTCCTCGCCCTGGCTGGGCTAAGTCCACGTGCCCCACACAGCTCACTCCTGCCTCCCACTGACAGATGGCCACAGCCGATGAGATTGTGGGGCTCATGCTCAATCACATGACCAACTCCTCCAATGCGTCCCATGTGGCCGTGCAGCCAGGTGGGTGGCTGTCTCCCATCTGGCCTTCCCCCACCTTCTCTACCTGTCTGTGCAAGGGCCACCCAGAGACTCACCTGTGGGGGGGACATCCTGTCCACACAGGCTCCTCCGTGGTGCTGATGGTCAACAACCTGGGCGGCCTATCCTTCCTGGAGCTGGGCATCATAGCCGATGCTGCTGTCCGCTCTCTGGGTAAGCCCCACACCCCGCCCCTTCCCTCCAGCCTTGGGGAGTGGGGCTTTGCTGTACAGTCATCACTTTGCTGCTTCACTGCCGTGGGCCTCGGTACCTTGGCTTGCTGGTCTGTAAAGTAGTCTGATGAGAAAAGCCCCTGCCTTAGATGACCGATGTGAGGGCCAAGTGAGATTAGCGTATGTGGTAAAATAGCCCATCTTGGAGTCGATTTCTATTAGGGCAGAGTACAACTGCTTCCTGGGATTTCCAAAGCTAGAAGTTTTTATGGGAGCAGAAAAGCTTATCTATCGCCTAGAGAGTGGATAGTGGGTTTGAACCTCTGACCTTGTAGTTAGCAGCCAAACACTTAACCCACTGCACCGCCAGCGCACCTTTGCACATGATAGAATTCAGTGAGTGAGACCTGTAATTACTCATCTGGCCTGAAGAGGGGGCCCCTCCAAGCGATGTGGACGTGTGATGCCCAGAGGAACGCTGGCCTCTCCCCATGGACCCTGGGACCCTACCGCTGTTGCTTTCCAACTTCCCCTGAGCTTTGAGGCATAGAGGGGACAGCCGGCCCGTCCTTCCCTCACGGACCTCTATGCTTTGGTATTGTAGAGGGCAGTGGGGTGAAGATTGCCCGGGCCCTGGTGGGCACCTTCATGTCTGCACTGGAGATGCCTGGCGTTTCCCTGACCCTCCTGCTGGTTGACGAGCCCCTTCTGAAATTGATAGGTGAGACGGGAATCCGGGGTCCTCCATGCCCAGGGCTCCTGGTCACTGGCATCAGTCACCAAAGCTGGTGATGAGAGTCGGGCGATGTGCTGTGTCCTCTCTGGCTTCTTCAGCCCCGTCTCACCTGATTGAGGAGATGCTGGGATCAGGATCCTTCTCAGAGCTGCCAGTACATAGTAGGCGCTCAGTACGTGCTTGTCCAGGTGGTCCTCCTATCTGCAGGCTAAGAGACCATCTGCTGAGGGAGCAGGGCCACCTGTGCCAGGCAGGGAACCCAAGCCCCACTTGAACCCTGACTGACTGCCCGTACCTAAGAATGGTCTGCTGGCCCCCAGATGCTGAAACCACTGCGTCAGCCTGGCCCAGCACAGCCAAGGTCTCTGTGACTGGGCGGAAGCGGAGCCGCGCAGCGCCCCCCGAACCCCCAGAGGCACCCGGCTCCACTGTCACCCAAGGTACCACACCCTGCTGCTGGGAAGGGGTGCTTCCTGGGTGAGCCCCGCTGGGGGGTCAGGATGTGAGTGGTCCCGCCCCTGGTATGTGTCTTCCACAGTCGGTCAAGTTGGGCCCCTCCCTTTCCAGACTCTGCCTCTAAGTGGACGGTGCTTGTGCTGGAACGAGTGTGCACCACGCTTCTGGGCCTGGAGAACCACCTCAACGCCCTGGACAGGGCTGCTGGTGATGGGGACTGCGGCACCACCCACAGCCGCGCTGCCCGAGGTCGGTGTCCGGCCTGCTGGGGCCAGGAGGGGGCTGGGTAGGCACCGGGGTTTCACAAACTGGAATGCAGGCTGCCTATTGACGACATTCACCAGACCTTGGCATCCAGCTCACCCCTGACTCCTAAAGCGAAGGGCCTCAGAGGCTCTGAGTGTGGGTAGGGCGTTGTGTCGGCCTGGACTTCAGTGCAACTCTGCTGACTTGGTTCTCAACCTCAGCCCCGTTCACTCAGGGAGGATGTCTTCAGTGCCAACCAGGCACCAGTCTTGACTCCAGTGATGAGAGTAAACATGTCACTGCCGTCGTTCTGTACAGTCAGTAAACACGTAGCATGTCCGGCCACTCAGCTGTCACCTCACCCTCAGCACACTGGGTACAGAAAGGAGGCCGAGGTGTCTGTCCCCTTAGGTCCTTTTCGATCTCGTCTTTGACTCCTGACTCCAAGAGAGGCCTGTAGAAGTTGGTGGGGGTCTAGAGATGCCGGAGGAGGGTCTCTGAGTCACTTTCTGTCTCTGCAGCCATCCAGGAGTGGTTGAAGGCCAGCCCACCCCTCGCCAGCCCTGCCCAGATGCTCTCCAGATTGTCCATCCTGCTGCTGGAAAAGATGGGAGGCTCCTCAGGGGCGGTGCGTGCTGGCGGGGAGGGGTTTGGGGTGATGGGCTGCAGGGCTGCCAGAATGTGGAGGGGTGCAGAGTGATGGGCTATAGGGCTGGTGGGACAGGTACAGGGTGGTGGACCACAGGGCTGGTGGGAGGGGTATGATGGTGGAGGGTCATGAATGCGGGGTAGTAGCTGCAGTGCCGGCAGGGAGGGCGTTGGGTGGCTGGGACCTGGGCCTGCTCCTGGTACTCAGCATTCTGCCCTCTGCAGCTCTATGGCTTATTCCTGACTGCAGCTGCCCAGCCCCTCAAGACCAAGACTGACCTGCCTGCCTGGTCAGCTGCTATGGATGCCGGCCTGGAGGCCATGCAGAAGTGAGCCTTAGACTCTGTGCCTTAAACCAGCTGGAGGTGGGGGTGGGGGGGGGGGAGGTCCCTTACCCCAGAAAGATCCCCTAGGGGGAGCCTCATTTGTCCTTTCCTGTCAGGTATGGCAAGGCTGCCCCAGGGGACAGGACCATGGTATGTATGCAGGCTGTGGCCTCAGCCTCTCCCTCTTTGAAGCCCTGAAGCCCTAACGCCCCCCCACCCCCACCCCGTGGCTGGGCCTCTCCTCAGCCCCTCCCTCACTGTACACAGTTGGACTCTCTGTGGGCAGCAGGGCAGGAGCTCCAGGCCTGGAAGAGCCCAGGGGCTGACCTGCTTCAGATCCTGACCAAAGCCGTGAAGGTGAGTGAGGCCCCCAGCCCATCCCCATGTGCCCCTGAGCACTGGGGAAGGGACAGGAAGGACTCTGCTCACGGGGCTGCTGTGAGGCTTCCCGAAGCAGGGTGGGACGTGACACTGAGGATACTGGGAGAGATGGAATGGGGGGACCAAGGGCCAGATTGCACGTCGGAGGAAGTCTGTACATGACAGGAAGGAGAGACCTCGTGGGTCATCCTTGAACCTGCACCCCCACCCCCACCCCACCCCCAGAGTGCTGAAGCTGCAGCCGAGGCCACCAAGAATATGGAAGCTGGAGCCGGAAGAGCCAGTTACATCGGCTCTGCCCAGCTGAAAGAACCAGACCCCGGGGCCGTGGCAGCTGCAGCAATTCTCCGCACCATCCTGGAGGTCTTACAGGGCTAGGATGTGTGACTGCCCCCCTCAGCCTCAGCTCCTCACTGCTGGACTGAGGCGACCATGGCCACTTCCCTCTGCCTTCAGTAGTCTTTCTCCCCTGACCCCAATCCCGGGCCTGTCCTGAGTTCTGTTGGAGAGTCCCTACCCAAGTTCCCAGAACAACTTCACTGCCCAGACAGGCCCAGGGAGGGGCCACACTGCCTTCTCCTTTGCTGGCAGGATGGGGTCCCTGGGTACCTGTCAGCTTTGGGCTTTGGCGGTTGTTGGCAGCACAGCCTATAACTGCCGGCGCTCACCTGGTGGAGAGTCCCCAGGACAGACCTGAGCCCAGTGCAGAAGGAATAAACCACAGTGAAACAGCATAGCACCTGCCTCCTCTTGGTGATCCTCCCCAGGCAGGGACAAGGTGGGCCCACTGATGCCACGGGCTGAGGTTGACGTGCTGCTGACCATCTCCTTCCACTAGCTCACCTAACTGTTTGGGGGGTGACATGGCAGCGGGGGCACCAGAAGGAAATCAGAAAGCCCAGTCCTGGATCTCTTTCTGGAGCAGAGGTATCTGCGTCGGGGAGGGATGGCACTGTGGGCTCAGACAAGACTTGGAATCCCGGTGCTGCTTCATACCAGCTCCTGCTGTGATGAGTCTGTGTAACCTCCTGGACTGGATGGTCTGAAGGGCATATGGAAAGGGCTCGAGTGCGTGGGTGTCAGGAAAGCTCAGCCCGGTCACGGCCTCTCTCTCACCTGTCGGAACTCAGAGAAATGGCTTGTTCTGCCGAGTCGCCCGCGTGTTCCACCTTAGAGAAGGTGATCCTACCGCCATTTGTTGTTAGGTGCCACTGAGTCGGCACCAACTCATAGCGACCCAATGCACAACAGAACAAAACACTGCCCGGTCCGGGGCCAACCTCACAATTGTTGCCACACTTGAGACCATTGAAGCTGCCACTTTGCCAATCCATCTCGCTGGGGGTCTTCCTCTTTTTCTCTGACCCTCCATCTTACCAAACATGATAGCCTTCTCCAGTGACTGGTTCCTCCTGACAATATGTCCAAAGTATGAGAGAC